AATCTTTTTGAAAATAATGAGTTTTTGAATAGTAAATTTTTAAAGAATGTGTAATTAAAATGTAGAAATAAGTTTTGGGTTTATGTGAATAATATTTTATAGTGAGGTTACATGGTTGAAAATAAATATTTAAAAAAAAAAGAGTTTTAAAGAATGATTCTCTTCTGAAAATGTGCATGGATCCTTTGCATTTTTTTAGGGGAAATGATGCAAATAGTTCCAAAGCTTTGTTCAAATCGTTTATCGGGAAAATTATAGTAGCGATCCTTAACTTTTTTATTTTTTGAAAATTTTACCCTAATCTTTATTTTGTGTCAGTAGAAGTTCCTAATCTATCATAAATATGCAATTGAGATCCATCTGAACAGAAACCGTCCAAAACACCATCAGTTGATCGAGAAAATTAAGGAATCAACATCTAATAAAACTGTCCAAAAATGCCATCCAAAAACGTATCAATATCCAATAAAATCGTCGCGATAGCAGATAGTTCAAGGAATTTTTTCGATCAACAGACAGTGTTTTAGACGATTTTTGTCCAAATGTACATCGGGTGTATATTTATGAAAGGTTAGGGGACTTCGCTGGCACAAAATGAAAGTTAGAGTAAAATTTACAAAAAAATGAAAAGGTTAGGGATCGTTGCTGCAATTTTCCCGTGTTTATTTTGGTTCAAACCTTGCAAATGTGACACAGTAGTCCTAAATCTTTAACTTCTTTTTTTTTTTTTTTTTTTTATGTAAATGGTCCTTTTGGTACCATTGGTTTTGTGCATGCAATGCAATTGCCTTTTTTTTTTTTTTTTTTTTTATAATTCAAAGGATAGTTTCGTAAAATGGCTTTTTCTACCCAAAAAATCCCAAAAAAAAAAAAAGATAAAAATATTCATCTTCTTTCCCCAACCACCCATTGTCACACCCCCGTCACCACTGGATCATCTAAAACTCTTGCCAGAAAATCATGGATGTCATTTTCTATTGAGCTTAATGTTGAATTTTGATGGCATTCACAATAGAATTAAGAATCATTTTCTATTTGATTAAATGGAGGAAAAACTATTCGTGAAGGCTTGTCAATAAATCCCTTACCCATTCCTATGTCATATTTAAGTTGAAATAAAGGATCCCCCAGGGCACATCTCCAAGTGGTAAAAGGGGAGGGTGGAGAAATCCAACTTTACTTGAGGCTGCTGCGTCAAGGGTTCGAATCCTGAAATATGGATTTGGCTCTTGGGTAAGTGCAAGTGTACAAGCAACCTTCCACCCTGTACCCTTGGAGGCATAACCTGCGATTTACCTCCCTCACGATACTTCAGGGCAGGGGTGGTGGGGGACCCTTAAGGTTAGGATTTAACCTTTTTTTTTTTAAGTTGAAATAAAGGAGAGAGGTGGTGTAGGCCATGGAGGGGAAGGACGGGGATGTGATGGAAGGCGTGGGTGCATTAATGAAAAAGATGAAGAAATATTTATTTTACGGTAATTAGCACAAAACATCCCTACCTTTCGATGTTTTTGTGGAAAACGTCCATACCTTTCATTTTTTGGTAGATTACACCCTTACCTTTACATTTTTTTGCGCAAAACGTCCTTCTGTCAACTCTCCGTTAAAATGCTCCGTTAAATCAAAAAGGTAATTAGCACAAAAGGTCCCTACCTTTCAAAGTTATTGTGCAAAACGTCCCTACCTTTTATTTTTTAGCATAATTAGCAGAAAAGGTCCCTACCTTTCAATATTATTGTGCAAAACGTCCATACCTTTCATTTTTAGCATTTTCACCCCTACCTTTCACCTTTCATTGCAAAAAAGGTCATTCTCATCCATTTTTTCAATAAAATGACGATTTTACTCTCCTATTCAAATAAAACAAAAAGAAAAGAAAAAAATAATTAATTAATTATAATCATAGTTCTAAATCTTTCAAAACATTACAGATAAATCCTAAATTCTCCACTACCGCCACTTTTACAACCCCACCAAGCCACCACCTATAGATCCATATAGCACCACTTTTCGACCACAACACATAGGACTCCACCACCACCAGCGTCGCCTCACTCTCCCCAATATCCTCCTCCATAGTATTGGTCACCAATCTGTCCGAAACAACCACATTTACGATGGTGGAGTCCGGTGGGCATGGTGGCCGAAAGGTGGAATTATGTGGATTTATAGTTGGCAGCTTGATAGGTTGTGAAAATGGTGGTGGTTGAGAATTTATGATTTTTTGTAATTTTTTTAAAAATTTAAGGATTATAGTTGCAATTGGTAATTCATCTTTTCTTTTTGTTTTATTTGAATAGGAGGGTAAAATCGTCATTTTATTGAAAAAATGGATGAGAATGACCTTTTTTGCAATGAAAGGTGAAAGGTAGGGGTGAAAATGCTAAAAATGAAAGGTAGGGACGTTTTGCAAAATAATATTGAAAGGTAGGGACCTTTTGTGCTAATTCCCTTTTTGATTTAACGGAGCATTTTGACGGAGAGTTGACAGAAGGACGTTTTGCGCAAAAAATGTAAAGGTAAGGGGGTAATCCACCAAAAATGAAAGGTAGGGACGTTTTGCAAAATAATATTGAAAGGTAGGGACCTTTTGTGCTAATTCCCTTTTTGATTTAACGGAGCATTTTAACGGAGAGTTGACAGAAGGACGTTTTGCGCAAAAAAATGTAAAGGTAAGGGTGTAATCCACCAAAAATGAAAGGTAGGGACGTTTTCCACAAAAATATCGAAAGGTAGGGATGTTTTGTGCTAATTACCCTTTATTTTATCCTTTTATTTTCTATTTTCTTTGTTTACTTTAATTGTAAATATTTTGATAAAACTAAGGCTATTGTGGTCTTCTCAATAAAAAATTGGTAGAAAATGTTAAAGTATCATTAGCATATCAAATAGATTAAATAGGTAAAATCCAATTAACAAAAGAAGAATTCCAGACTCACATGGGTGAGTAAAATAATCCAAAAAATAATTCACCCACTTTATGCTGTGTGTATTTTGTAAGGTATCTGTAAAAAAAATTGTTCTGTTCGTGTAGCAGAACTCGGAGAATTATATGAGCCTTTTCAATTTCTTGTAATAGGCCATTTAAAACTCTGTACAAATGCCAAACTTTATAAATTATGACTCTCATGTGTAATAGTGATTTTTTGAAAAATGTGTGATTAAAAAATAGGTAAAATTTTAAATTTATGTGTAAAATTATTTTGTCGAGAGAACATGTGATTGAATTGAATCTGAGAAAAAATTGAATTTTAAAATAATAGAACTCAAGTAAAAATTTAATTTTCAATAACCCATTTCAACGAATTTATAAGTACTATACACTTAAATATACTCATTTCTCTAGATTTATGAGTTAAAACCATTTATAAACTTTTCTCAGCGCATTATCGTAACAAAACAATAATTTCCTATATATAATAGTTTTCCAGTATAAAAGTTTTGATAAAGTTGTGCCATCGGTCCCCAATCTAATGTATTGCTAACAATTTAGTCTTCAATCTTCAAATTTTAAGTAAGCTTATTAAAAGCATGCTCTACTTCAAATCCTCAAGCATAGTTTCCAATTGAAAGTAAAGCTTAACTACTCGAAATAGGACACTCGAGGGTCACACGAGCTGCCTCAATTTATAAATTGCATGAGCAACGTTCAGAATTTCTTAATTACCCTCAATAAATAATGGATATTAGCCATTTTGAATAGCATTAAAAATTTCATTTCATTCTCATCGTTTTAAATCACATCAACTTTGTTTATTTGTCAATTTGTTAATATATCATACGTAACATAATTTTGATATACTGTCTTTAAGTGAATTTAATTAAGCTCCCTATTTGATTATCATTATTTGATTTTTTTTTTCTACATACCTATATTTCAACAATACATTCACGTATTAAGATATTCAGCACATAAATTCAAAAAAAATCATACTTTTTAAACATACATTTTCCTAAAAATCATCATTCAAAATATTGTTTTGATCAAATAATGACTATCAAATAGACGCTATCTTCTAAATGCTATTCAAGATGTTGTGGTAATAGTATCTTATTTAATTCGAAAGAAAAAGGAAAGGATCAAATGATGACATATAAAGAATTGAATAATTATGCAATTAAATGAAGAAAGGTTGGGAATGATTTGATCATTTTTAAACATTGAAAATCAACTTGTTACTGAAACAATAGTTCGGGACTAAATTTTGAAATATTTCCAGAAGTATTACATCTAGGATATTTCCCCTTGTTTTTGTCTTAGCCAATTACAGGGACGACTGCCCCCTATATTGATCTGTGAATATTTTTCTTGTACATGTACTTGTTTTCCTGCACAGACTGTATGAAAAATGAGCAATTATGCGGGTACAAAATTGCATTTCACGGAATGACAACAGATATGACACAATAGGGATATTGAGTGATTTTTTGACAATTTTTTTTATCATAACATGGGATTTGCACAATGTGAAATTTCTAGTGCAGTTCCGTGGAATAGTTTTTTGTACAAATATAATAAGTGATATTTTCCTGTGAACTTTGCTACATATACATTAAATTTTACGTGATGAATTATATAGTATCACATATCACTTTATCATTTATCAATTTAAACTTTAAAATACAGTAAAAAATTTTATCCAATCTTTTCCCTTCATATCATTTTTTGTCATCCTTATGTATCATTTTTATCAATTTAAAACACAATGAAATTTTTATCTTCTATTCATTTCCCTGTACAGGTAGTACAGGTCTTAACACCTAAGCACTTGTTTGCTAGGAATTTTAAACTAATTAAAATCAATTTTTTTTACATTTATTTCAGTATTTCAATCGTAATTTTTAAATCATTCTTTTACAAATAGATCTACTTTATCTCTAACGATCAAAAAATCAATTATCAAAATATCTCACAAAAAAGCTCTAACATCGTGCCGTACACGTGCCATGCGCAAAGACCACAGGCCCCGAAGCAAAAGTTAAAAGGACGTTGAGGCACAAACAATCGTCAAACCCTATCTCTTCTTCTTCTTCTCTAAAGAAACTATAATCTTTTTCTCTTACAGATTATCACTTATGGAAATTTGTAGGTTTTTCGATTCAAAGATGTATGGGGCGTCGAATTTCAGCTGAATTTATTCTCATAAATCAGACTCTAGGAACTTGTAACATAATAATTGAGAAAAAAAAATCAAGATTTTGAAGCATATGGAGGGCTCTGTGACCGCATCCGAGGATTTCGGGGCTCCGCCAGAGTCTTGGGAGGTTGCTGATGTCGACGCCAGCATGCGCCGCCTTATGCTGTCTTCTACGAAAAACGATGCTGTTTCTTCTGATTCTTCGAGTAGCAATCGGTCTGAGAAGGGCGATGTTTCTCCTTCGATTGTTGTACCAGAGGATTTGGTGAATTCTGTGGATCAGTTTCTAAGGGAGGCCTTGCAAAATCCTCGTGAACGGCTCTCTGGTTTCTTTTCAAACTTTTTGTCTCTAGCGTGGATTTGTGATTTGTATTTCTTGCTTTCTAATTTTCCAAATTGTATTATGTTTTGAATTTTGTTTATTGCTTAGAAGTTGTACTTAATGATTAACATGTATCTATCTATATCAGCATGATTTTGTCAATTATGTCACGACTTGGGGTTTTTCTCCTAAAAAGTCAACTTTGTTAAGAGAAGTAGTCCAAATCCTTTATAAATTGGTCTATATTTTCATCTTTATTCGGTGTGGGATATTATCCCATTGAGATGATGACTCGTTTGAGTAGATTAATTTTGAAATTTGTATACTCATTTTTGAGTTTTAATAGGATCCAATTGCTCGTTGATGCTTAATGGGCTCCGATACCATGTTAAGACTTGGAGTTTTATCTAAGAGTTTGTTTGGTACAGATTTTAGGCCAATTTTTTAAATCTATTTCACTATTTTAGTCGTCATTTTTGAATTTTTCTCTTACACATAGGATCCACTTTATCTCTAACAGTCAAAAAATCAATTATCAAAATTCCTACCAAACAAGCACTTAAAATGTCAATCTTAAAAGAGGAGTAGCCCAAACCTTTTATAAAATGGTCTATATTTTCATCTTTATTCGATGTGAGATTTTATCGCTTAACAGATTATACATGTAAATGTCTATTCAGTTGACTCAGCTTTCTTGGTAACATGGTTTGTTTATAGACAATATGGTACAAATGAAGTTTTTAGGGTAAACTGCTAATAGACGTGTCTGTGGTTTTAGAGAGGAGGTCTTTATATCTAGTAACACTAACAGATAACATCTATGTGATCTTTTAATTACATAAAAAATATAATAGTAGGAAAATCTAGTTCTCAAGAGAAACATATGAAATAGTTAGTATGATTTATAGGAAATGTCTTTATTAATAGCATATTGAAGATCTATAATGCATAGCTATGTATGATGTAGATCCCATGAACATAGCAACAAAGTTTAAATCCAATTAGCAGCAGAATGTCTAGCAGAACCTCAATTCTTAAAAAAGAGACATTTTGCACGCATTGATGATTACAGGGCAGACCAGTATGGAATTTAGGCTGATAAAAGGTTGCATTTTTCTGCTTGTGTAGGCACATTTTGCGTAAAATGTTTTCATATTAAGTATCCCTATCAGTAAGGGAGGGTACAGGGAGGAATCATGATTTGCTAGTTGGAATTGTTTCACTTGGGTTAGGGTTACTGGGTTAATTGCATGCCTGTGCTGCGGTCCTCGAGGATATCTTTGAATATATTAAATTTGTGAAGGTTACCAGCATCTTATGGGGCCGATTATATGGAAAGAAGTTGTTTCAATAATCTTTTGGGTGATTTGAACAGAAATAAGTTGTAGAATTGTCTGAGGAAAAGAGCAAGTAGTTGTTGATTTACATGACGGGGGAATATTTTTGGTATCTTTAGGAGTTTCTATTGTTATTGACTTAGGAGTGCTAGTTTTCCCTTCTTCTTTTACTGTCCTTGGGCAGATGATTTGTTGTATTCTCGATTATTTTTCTCTTCATCGCATTAGTGTGTACCTTCGCCTCTTGATGGATTTACTTGTGCAACTATTCTTATCAAACAAATTGCCATTATTTTAATGTTTACCTCTATAAGACCTTGAAAACAATGGAAGATATTTGCTCTCTTGCTTCTATTTTTCCTCATTTTTTTGACAATCCTTGGGCATTTCCTATCTGGGGGATAATGGTTTTCCATGCTCCATTTGCAGTTTTACGAATCGAGCAGGATGTTGAAAAGTTCATCCAGGATCCCACTAGAGATCAGATGGAGTTCCAACAGTTGCCTACTTCTTACTTGAGGTTGGCTGCACATCGTGTAGCCCAGCACTATTCATTGCAGTCTATGGTTTTATTGGATAATCAGCCTGATGGCTCTGGTTCTAGAATTATTGTACGCAAAACGTCTAATATTCGCCTGCCTTCTATCCGCCTTGCTGACATTCCTGTTAATCTACCAACAGAAGATGGTCTTGTTAAGTTTGCAATCAAGCAAAGGCCACAGAAAGGGTCACAAACCTTAAGTTCTAATTCACGTTCTTCAAAACCCAGTGGTTCTAAGAGTGTTGAGGAAAGAAAAGAGGAATATAATAGGGCTCGGGCACGAATATTCAGTTCCAATAATTCTAGTGGGAATTCAAATTGGAAACCAGAAAATGAGCACAGGACGAAGGATATTTCCCAGAAAGATTCATCCAGGATATCAAACAGTGAAGAGAGATTTTTTCCAGGAGGTGGGTCTGATCCTATTCGTAGAAGTTTATCTGATTGTTCTACAGTTAGCGGTAGATCACCTGTAAGTAGGACAGAGGAGCCAGTTGGTAGGTTCAAAACTAATAATAAGGTGGCTATTTTTCGGGATCGTGAAGTTGATCGTGTGGATCCTGACTATGACAGGAGCTATGACAGGTGTATATTTGCTCGCTCTCTGACACGTGCACACACAGAGCTAAGTCATGAATATTCTATGTATGAGTGAATTTCCACCTTTCTTTTTGAGGACTCCTGACGGCTAATGGGTCTAGTTACAAAATTTGACAGTTTCGATTAACCTGTGTTGTACTCTTATGGTTTAATTTATTGATCATATATGAAATGTTCATGATACATAATGCAGTAGTTTTTCCCACTAGATGGCATTCTGGTATACAAGAGATTGCTTGATTGTGTTTTGATCTTTCAACTCGTTTTGAATGTTTCTGTCTTGAGCTGGATACGGTGTATTGAGCTGGTTGAAAATGGTCAAAAATATATGTTGTCTAGAAGCAATCTGGAATGATAATTTGATATTTTTCTCAGATATATGCAAAGATTTGATCCTGGTTTTGGATATAACGGCGGCCCATATGCCATTCAGCCCATGTATGCACCTGCCTTGAACTATAACACTGAATTTCCACAGCTTGGATCAAGTCATGGGCCTCCAATCTCTACTGAACACCAACCTTATCCTGTTCCCCAACATCTACCTGGGCCATGGGTTGCACCATCAGCTCCTGCTGGTATTGGGTATGGTCCGCCAGAGACAATGATGACTACATTTAGTCCCAGTCATGTTGGTGCACGCACCAACTCAGCTCTCTACTTGCACTCTGCTCAATATCCTTGTCAACGCTCTGGAATGCCAGTTATCCATCCCCATGAAGCAATTCACCGGCCTTTTCCGCAGGTATGATCAAATTTGATGGTCCTATCTATTTTTGTTGACCTATTTATTGGTGACTGGCAGATTGTTTTACCTTTTATCATATTTACCCCTCCCCACTTGATCCCAACTCCTTTGCCAGGGAGGGAAATAGGAAATCAAGTATGTCAATTGTCAAGTTCAAGTAAGAAAATTTGAAGCATAGATTCTCAAAGCAGTGCCCTTGATTTCTAGTTTGGATTATGGAATACTTGCAAAACTTTGTCAATTGGGCTTCAAAAATGTTATTGGTTTCAAAAATTTTAATTTCTGACATGACACCGGCGCATCAAGGCCACAACAACTCTGTTGTGTAAGCTCTGGAAAAATAAAGTTCAAAGTCATTTCGGTACAAATATGCCGAAGATTTCACCTGCAAAATTCAGAATGAAGCTGAAAATTTATTAATTTAATGGAAATATTGCCCCCCATTAGGCCCCCATTAATTTGAATTATAATGGGAGAAATAGCGTTTTTTGGAAAAATGAGTGGTTGTAAAAGAATGAAATGTTTTCGATTTACGTGTAATATTATTTTATTGAAGATTTTGTGGTTGAAAATAGGAGAGAAAAATTTAATTTAAATTGATGAAATTTAAACCGGGCCAAATGGGGGCACAATAGTTTGAAAGAAAGATATATTAAGTACATTTATAATTTTAAAGTATCTGATCAATGTATGTGTCCATGGGCTACTCTTTTTGAAATTGACCTGCAAATTGTGTGTCTTATCTTGTGATGTCTGTAATTGTACTTCATAGTTAAAGGCCATGGGAGGAATTTGTTATCAAGTGTCGTAATTATGTTTTGGATAGACCATTGTTACACTTCTTTAAGTTGCAACAATGCTCACGATAGAAATAGACAATGGAAGGCTTGTAATATTCTACAGTTGTACTTCTTTCAGTGTGTTATTTGTTAATTCTTCATCCCTGGTTCTTATTAATTATAATTTTTTGTTATTGAACGTCTCTTTTCAGTCTTATCAGCAGCAACATGATGCTAGCTTTGGAATGGCCCAGCCCCGATAAGGGGCTTGGGCCGTGCCTGCATCCTACCAGTAGACTTGTCTTAAATGATGAGGACGCTGCTAGGGCAGCGCATTGCCCCAACTGGACAAGGTGCAGGCATAGGCAACCGAGATGCGCTGAATGGACATTTGGCACCATCTTTGGTCCATCCACGAGTCTCGGTTAAATAGAGCTTTATTCGTGTTCGATGGAGTTAATAGGTGGTATTGCAATTGATTGGACGAGTTCCCTAGGACTCTCCCTTGCACTGCATGATGACGAAAATCAAGACTGGAAGTGAAATCATAGCAGTGTAGGTGACTCATAAGTTGGGCAAAGGTATATTTTCAAGACCATTGTCTGATTCAATTGTTTTAAGTTTAGGATGTGTAGCTCTGCTTGAAAAGTTGACTTACAAGTGAGTTCTGACTTGATCTACTGTCAACAGTTGCTTTCAGAACTTTTTTAGTTGAAGAAAAAAGCTATTTGTGTTTGGAAACAGACATTTACAATTTTTTTTTTTTTTTTGGGAAGTGTTGCCAAATACGCTCTCGTATGTGTGTGTGTAATGATCGTCTGAATAGCTTTCTTTATTTTGTTATGATACCAGGAGCAGGTATAATACCAGTGTGCCCAAAAAATGATTATTGCCTGAAAGATGTCTTGAAGAAGAAGAGCTATCTGTTTGGGCCTCGGAAACCATTACTTCTTGGCTAACTGTGATTGTGTGTCTTCGACTATGTCAACTGTCCCAGTAAATGTAAAGCTGCTACTTGAAATAGCGTACTATCCAAACCAAACCTTCTATAGCATAGTACCTGAAGTGTTTCTGCTTAGGTTTTTTTGATAATTAAACAGCATCTTGGTTACTTAACAATTGTTACCATTTTCTTGGGCAAATTTCGTGTAATGCTAATTCTGCAATATAGTATGCCTTGAGTCATTAATAAATAAAAGGGAAAATTGTAGCAGCAGTTCATAACTTTTTTATTTTTTACAGACTTTACCCCAACTTTCATTTTTGTTAGTGGAGGTTTCGAAAATCATCCAAAACACAATTGACCGAGAAAATTAAGGAATTAACATCCAATAAAATCGTTCAAAATATCGTCAAAAAATGTATCAACATTCAATAAAATTGTCGCGATGATAGATAATTCAAGAAATTTTTACAGTCAAAAGATAGTGTTTTGGAAGATTTTCGTCCAGATGGATTACATGTGTATATTTATGAAAGGTTGGGGATCTTAGCTGATACAAAATGAAGGTTAGGGTAAAGTGAGCAAAAAAAAAAAAAAAAAAAAAAAAAAAAGGTTAGGAATTGTTGCTGCAATTTTCTCTAAATAAAATGCTGTTTTGAGGGTATTGTGTTTGCTCTGCTTAGTGTTGGTATTCAAGAGCGTGGTGGTAATGTTGACATTGAAATAGCTGGTAAAAGTAGTTACTTGCCATGGGTTAATTGACTGTTACAATTTTTATTATATGGAGCAAGCATATGTGCTGCGGTTTGCTCGAAGAACTTTGAAGAACGGCTAGAATTTAACCTGCACGCAATCCCAACTCAGGCCATACATAGGACACAGCCACACCTACAATATACAACAACAATTTTAGAAGCTCACATTCCCTCATGCTACTTGATTTTTCTGATAAATTGATAAGTGCGGGTGAAGATTTTCGTACATCTCATGTGTGGATCTTTAAAGAATCAATGGGACTAAGAAGAACCGTCATGCAGGAGGCTATTAGGGAAGACAGTTCAAGTGATTCATCAAAGTGAGGCAAGGAAGTATACAGAACTAAAGCGTAAGAAGAGTCAACCAATCTCTACGTACTACAACAAGGTTTGAGCTTAAGTTTTCTTTTAAATTATTTATTTATATGCCCATATGGAATCCATGTCTTAATTTTCATAAATTTTCACAAATTTCGCAACTTCCTCAAATTGGTATCGGGTTTAGAGAAGGTCTTTTGGTCAAGGGATACCATCATAGTCAAATAAAGACTATTCCAGAAGTTATTCTGAATAAACCAATTGAAAGACAAATTGAACGTGTTAATGAGCAAATACTTCATGAATTGAGGAGTCTCTCTTATCAAAGGATTCTAACAGGATTAAGATCCTTTAATAATGAATCAAAAATCAAGATAAATTATTCTTCAAATTTTATCTTGGTTATGAGCAAAACAGAATCAACAATTCAACTTGAAGGAATAAAAATTCTTTGCAATTTTGAAAAGAATTTTTATCATTTGCCAAATGTTCCTACAAATTTTCAAGGACAATTATGCAAAGCATTGAAACAAAGTCTCAAAAAATATCATGAATGCCAATGATGCAACAAAATTGAAGACCATGAAAAAGAAAAAGGCTCATTACAGATAGAAGAAAATGAGTCAAGTGGAGGTATTGCTGAGAGCAAAAGCCAAGAAGACCAATCAGAATAATGGATGAAGCATCTGCTTTTTCAAAAGAAAGGAAGTGAAAGGCATCTACTTTTTGAAAAGAAGGAAAAGGCATCTGCTTTTTCAAAAAAGAAGAGACAATTGTCGTATCACTTTATAACTACTTTTGCTTTATGCAAAAGAAAAACTGTCGATATAGACAAACGGACTAATGACAAGAAAGAGGATTCTTTCCAATCTGCTATAAAAGGAAAACTTTGCAAACGGAGAAGAGGATGAAAAATTTAGAAAATTTTTTTTCTTTATCTAGAAATAAATCAAATGTATAGCTTTCAAGGCTAAAATTTTAAAGACAGTGGATCCATAGTGGATCTTATAGATAAATAAGTTTAAGAGTATCTTTTTCTTAAACCTTCTTACTTGAATAAAACTTTATGTTTTAATCATATTTTCAGACACTTTTATTTTTATATACAAATTCATGTACGAATCCTTAAAGAATCAATGAGACTAAGAAGTACCGTCAGGCAGGAGGCCATTAAGGAATACAGTCCAGGTGATTCATTAAAGTGAGACAATGAAATATACAGAACTAAAGTGTAAGAAGAGTCGACCAATCTCTACATGCTACAAGAAGGTTTGAGTTTAAGTTTTCTTTTAAATTATTTATTTATATGCCTATATGGAATCCATATGTCTTAATTTTCATAAATTTTCACAAATTCCGCGCCTTCCTCAAATTGGTATCAGAGCCATAAAATATGAGAAAATTCATAACAAATAAATTACCTAAAGAAGTAAAAACTTCTAGATATAGGTTAACACATAGATTTTATATAAATCTAATAAATAACAGATTAACCATTAGAAAGTTAAAAGAATATTTAGATTATACATCTTTAAAATAATTATGATTGATTGTCATAATTGTAATATACAAATACTTATATTCACATATGAATATGAAATTTACAAATATTATCAAGACAGATAAAATTATAAATTGTATACAGAAAAACCAAGAAATACAATAACTATGACAAAATTACATATGATTAATGCTTTACAGAAACATGAATACAGTGTTAAAACTTTTATTTTACATTATATTACTTGTCATTATTAAAATGGAAGTTGGAAACCATAATAATGATAAAAATGAAAATATGGATGAGTTCTGTGAGTAGATTGAATCACCGGGAAATTTCTCAAAAGAAATTAGCCTAGATATGTAAGACAAGACTTACAATAGAACCTAAGGAGATTTTTTCTCAAATAGGTTTCTTGGATTGATTTATGAACAGAAAGAGACATATATACTATGGTTTATCTCCAAAAGAATTTGTCATACATGTACAACATATATATGGTAAGATAGGAATTTATTTACTTACCAAACAAGACATAAATAAAGCCAAACAAAATATAGATCTTGATAATAGCAAGAATCTCTTTTGGGTTACTATAAGAGCAATTCGAATTCAAATTCGAAGCACCTTATCTGATAAAATTTATCAACCCATTTCAATGAGTTTGATTGATGAAAGAATACAAAATCCTACAAAAGGATATCTAGGGTCCCTTGAAGGAAACCTAGCATGTGGAGAATTGATATTTACAGTTTATCCTAGACTTTTAGTAAGTGTACGTGATCAAAACTTTGATGGAATACTTTTTATACCTAGGTATGGAAGAACAGATTCAGTCAAAGACAATAATGTACATTTTTCAATATCATATCTTGTTAGTTATGCTATTCATAATCAACATAATATGACTATTGTCAAAGAACCAAAAGGAATAAAAATTGACCCTTTATTCTCAGATTACCTTGAGCATAAAGAAACGGAATTTGAATAGTTAATACAACCATTTAGAAAATATTTGAAAATTAATTTTAATGACCAAAGAACATTAATTAAAGAATAAAAACCACTTCTTACTAGAAGTTTATCTTTAAATAGAAAAACACTTCCAAATGTTAAATGGAAGGATAAACCAGAAACCAGTCAAAGTAGACAATTAAAACAATTAAGTCAAACAGTTAATGACATAGCAAAAGTCATTTATGGAGAATAGTAAAATAATATGTCTATTTCAGATATATTAAAAGAAATCAAACAGTTAAAAGAAAGTATTGAAGAAATTAAGATTAATTTTAAAAATCTTCAAGAAAATACAGAAAAATCTATGGAGAAACACTTTGCTGTACTTATAGCAGGAGTTAAAACTAATAATCCTTCTCATAAGAAAATTCCAAAAATTACATTAGGAATTTTTGAAAAAATGGAAGAAAATTTAGATAATAAAACTAAGGGAAAGACTAAAGGAAATATTGATATTAACTTTTTAAGTTGATATGGCAAATTTCAGGGAAAACCATGAAAACATTTATGAGACTAGTTATGATCTAGGGCTCTTAAATGTTCCTCTTGCTTTTGAAGATACAGAATTACAGAAAATTGTAAATATTGTTAAAAACATCAACATTGGAAACAATGAAACAATAATGACAATAAAATCTGACGATGAAGAGTTAAAACTCTCTGAACCAATGGATGATAATGAAAATATATCAGATCATGATTCTGATGAAGAAATTATTATTCATGAAAGATTCAATACCAATAGGGAACCTATCATTGTTATAAGGGAACCCAAACAAGAGCAATGAATTAGTCTTCCAGAATCAACAAGTTATAATCCAAAAGGAGAGGGAAAAAGAAATGAAGGAGATAATAATCCTAGACCCATTCCTATGAATGAATCATTTGATCAAAATCCTCTGCAATCTGATTATGTTCCAAAAAGAAGTAACCAGCAAGTTACAATTCTAGATTTAGATTGTACCATGGAACCTGAGAAACTTATTGATGCATGGTATAGCCATATTATGGTAGCCATGATAGTTAATAAGGAAATCATTAAAAACGAATCTAATTCATGGAACTATGTTTTAGCAAGCACTAAGGGAAATGTTAGATCATTCCTAGAAAAGTTTAATTACAATGTAAAGAATATTATATGGAGTGATTCTCAATATAATATTCCACAATTCATTAAAAGAATTGTAGAACAATTATACAAACAATTCACTGGTCAAACTTATGAAATTTTTAAAAGTGAAAGAACAACAATAGAAATTGCTGATGCACTTAATCACTTAAAAAAAAATTCTATTTGTGATATGTGTTATTTCGAAAATTACGCTTGTGAATTTTAAAAATACTTTTATTTTTGTCCTGAAGATAAATGGACTGAATTAATTGAAAATTTTATTAGAAAACTTCCCGACCCTTTTAATCATGAGGTTATAGAACTTTTTAATAATGCTATAACAAGACAAGAAGAACACGTTGATCAAAACCTCAATATAAAAATTGATAGTTCCTTAGGATTAACAATTATACTTACTAGAAATCTTCTCGCTGACAAATGTAAAGAAAATATTTTAGTAAGAGACAGTAGGCAAGCAATAGCCAAAAATCCTAAATTCTGTTGTGATGCATATCTCATAGAATACCAAGACAATATGGATGCATACCATCCAAAAAGAAAGAAAAGAAGA